ATGAATCAAATTGTGTCGTTGCTCCAAGGGAGTACCAACGTATTATATATATATTAAACTTTCAGATCATGATTATAACAGTGAAATGCATGCATCTGCCAAAGCACAAGTGTCTAGTGGTGAGGGGATGGAGGTGAATTATAAAAAAACCCGAAATTCTATTAAGTACTTATAAATCATTTAATTTTAGCGACTCTTGATCCAAAATAGTAGCCGATGTAATTATATTACTAAATTTCTATCATGTTTTTAATCGATAACCAAATGACAAGATGAGTTATCGATTTATTGAGAAAAACTCGGTATCCGCGCTGACATTTGAGAAAAATTTTGATTTCACTAGCCCTTATATTTTCTTTAAAAATAAAAAATATTAATTGTAAATATTTCAATAAAAAAAAAAAACAATAAATCAAATAATATAAACATTAAAATGAAAACATTCTTTTGTCATTTATAAGTAAAAGTCTGTTGAATAATGTCAAATGTTCCCGAATAAAGTGTGCAAATAATCGGAGCATACTTTCCAGCGTATTTTTAAATAATATCTGTATGCACATACATATATTTATATACATATATTAATATTTGCTCTAAGACTCGCCCACAATTAGATAGTCATAAGATCTTTACATTTTTATAGCAAATCCTTTTCACTAATAATCAGCTTCGCCAGGTGTGTTACTAATTCCATAGCACTTGTCTTCGCCTTACCTTTGAGTTCCTGGGTTCCTGGCAAATGAATTGCAGGATATGTGCAATTAGATGGCAATTAGTTGCTTAAACGCTTACAACGCACACTGAATGCGATGTAAATATTTGTATGTGTAATAAGCAATTATCATGAATTACAAGACACGCACACACACGCACACTCACACACCTTTAGCACACACAAGTGCTGTTGGCATGCTGTTGAAAATAAGACAGCCTACTAATTAGGCATATAAAAATTGGTAAGAGTCACAATAGTTAGCTGGCTTAAGAGATGGCAAGAGAGTGAGAGAGAGAGAGAGAGAGACACCGATTGTCTAAATAACTGTGCATGTGTTTCAGGCACGTTAATTGTTAAACAAACGCGCGTTTATCACTCAACAACAACAACAACAACAGCAACAGCAACGGCAACAATGGAGCACATCCCGTTACGCATAGAACCGTCTGCTCCCAATATTGTCCTTGTCGTTGGCTCGTTAGACGGATGAAAGCCTCGCTGGCTGCGCTCTCACATGCCCAATGCGCGTATTCCATATCCCAGCACATTCGCATTCACATTCAGTTTCACATTCATATCGTCAACGGCAGCGCCAAATGCTTTGACATCCGCCCACGCACATGCAACGAGACAGAGCGAGAGGGAGAGAGAGAGAGTGAGTGAGTGAGTGGGTGGGTGAGAGGGCGTAAAATTGTTATGTTTTTCGTATTTAACCTCAGACATGGGCCTCGTTTGTATAAATTCCAACAGCAGCCACTGCCAACTGCTGCCGCTGATTGTTGCTGTTGTTGTTGTTATTGTTGTTGTTGTCCCTGCTGCTGCAATTGTACTGTGAAATTATTAACAACGACAACAATAGCGCCAACGTCGACGTCGACAGCGACGCATCGTTCATCGCGCTCACATATGGCGGAAATGACACTTTTACAGTTAGCATCGCGAGGCGTAACGCTCAGAGAGAGAGAGAGAGAGCTAGCATATGGAGGTGAGAGGGAGATGGGCATAGAGCGCGACACGTACGCTACACAGACGCAATAAACTTCATTTCTGACAGGCCGCAATGCCAACAGGCGGACACGGACATAAACAGGAACACAAAACAGAAACGGCAACGGAACGGAATGAGACGAGAGTGGGAACAGGAGCGGGAACGGTACGGGCTGGGGGGACAGGAACAGGCACTACGTAGCTGTTATACGCACAGGCGCGCCGGCATGTCAACGCTATGGTGATGCTGATGCAACTGGGAGTGGGCAACAGGATTGGCTGGCTACCCCAACCGGTGCGACACAGCCAGCTAATGAATAAACTGGGCCTGAAATATGACCCTGGCCGACTGGCGTTGCCTGCACTCCTGGCCAGCCTATGGACGGCCTCTGTTTATTTACCGATTGGCCAATGAAGCGCTGGCCAAAGCGCTTAGTTGCTTGTGGCATAAAGTCTGCTTGGACGAGATCTCAATAAATCACCGAGTCCATTTGGTGCACTCTATCAAAATCGAGCTCAAGCAGAGACAGATAGACGAAACCCGTTTGTTGTTTTAGCCCAATAGTAAACATCAATGGGGAAAGTGGTATGGCTAAGAAATAGGAGTTCGATTGAGGGGCCATAGCATTGAAAATATGGAAGATAAAGTCAAAATCAATAGGGATAACCCTATAAAGTTACAGAAATTGGCATGGCTACGAGTTACCAATTCGACAATAATCATGGTCCAAGCTCTCCAAATTCAAGGACTACAATAATATATTTATATAGAAATAGAGATATAGAAATTTGTCTTGTTAAGAGTTAAAAATTCGATAATAATAACTAATTACATCATTATCGTTATCGTAATTCAAGGTTTACTAATCGAACATTGCCTAATGCTGGATCTCTCCTTTTTTGATATCTTAGACTGCTAAAAAACATCAATAGAGGTATACAAATTTGTATTCGAAATTCAAGGTTTACCAATTGAACATTGTAAATATTTTATGTCTTTCTTTTGAACAGTGTTACGCCTTAGCCTTAGCATAATACCAATTCAAGTACTTGAATACCATTTTCCATTTGAAGACTCTCAGTTTGAAATAATACTTGTTCCACTAACTTCGATTAGCCCTTGCTTATTCTGCTTTAGAATAATGCCATATAAGATATGATTAATTCAGATATTCCTTTCGATAACTCTTTAATCGTAAAGCTTAAGCAGTTTATCGAACCACATACAAGTTCCATGCCTTTCGATAACTCTTTGATCGTTTACTTTCCAGCACCGATAACCCGTAATTATGAACTCGCAATCGGATGATGTGGAGGATGTGCACCTGTGCATTAAGTGCCATGCGACGATTGTGGGTCTGCGCAAATACATTTATCACCGCAAGCAGAACTGTCTGCGCATTGGCGGGGGCAGTCGAAAGGAGAAGCCACTGGAGGCCACGGCAACGACATCTGCGACTACTGAGCATGTGACGCGCACAGTTATAGCGCGGCCTAGCTTGGAGCATAGCTATGATGGGTTCAATTTCGCCGAGGCGGAAGCACCGAGCAGCTACTTGCGCAAGACGACGGCCAGTCATGGGGGCAAGACGTCGAAAGGCCTAGCTGAGGCGTACGAGCCGACGTACGAGCTGGGCGCCGATGTGTTCTTTTCCTCGCTGCAGCTGCAGAGCGTCTCCACGGGCGGCAAGACGGGCGCACGACCCGAACGGGTCGCTAAGGAGGAGCAGAGCTGGCATTCAGCGGGCAGGTGCTCCGATCCTTTGTTGAAGGCGGTGCGAGAGCATGAGGAGCCGGTGTTCAAGTCGCTTAACTTTGCGCATTCGCCGGAGGCAAGCGAGGAGGAGGACGATGAGGAGGAGCCCGATGAGTCTGATGGCGATGATGATGAGGCTGACAATGACCAGGACCCAGACTATGATCCCGAGCTCCATCCAGATGAAGATTACGATGGGCGGCGCCACTCGCCGCCCACTGTGCCTGCCACGCACACTGGCGGCAAGTGGAGGCCGGAGCAGCGACCCCAGCTGCATCACACGCACCTGGAACGCATCTCGCCCAGCTGGGATGAGCCGGCCGAGGACGCGCACGATCATCCGCCCGCCGAGCACACACACGGCAAATGGGTGCCCGGCAGCAAGCAGCTGGAGTACCGGGAAAACATTGATCTGACCAAGCTGAAGCAGCCGAGCGCCAGCTATTGGTGCAACATCTGCTGTCGCCGGCTCAAGACGCGACTCATCTACGATCAGCATCTGCGCAGCAACTACCATAAGCGGCGCGCGGACACCGAGTGCCAGCTGGAGCAGGCCAATCTCCAGTCCGCCCATCTGAAGGTCAACAAGAACTTTGCCCATCCGCCCGCGCCATCGGCGAAGGAGCAAGTGCATCAGCGGCGTCGTCGTCGCGCCCGCCTGCTGCGCTGCGAGCTCTGCCGGCACAGCATGGCGCGCCACCTGATGGGCAAGCATCTGATCTCGCACTACCACTACCGGCGCATGCAGCTCAAATCGCAGGTGGGCGGCCAGAGCGCCTCGCTGCATGCCATCCTGGAGCACATGGGCAGCATTGTGCGGCAGGCGCCGTTCCAGTGCCTGCCCTGTCGCTTCTATGCCAATACGGAGCAGGCCTTTCAGGTGAGATTCGTGACCGACTCGGCCAGGTGCAACACGCCCGACTAAACCAATTTCCCTTGCAGGTCCACTGGCGTTCCTCCGAGCACATCGAGCTGACCGGGCGACTGGGCGGCACCTTCTGGTGCAGCTACTGCCAGTTCGAGTGCGCCAGCAACGAGGAGATGTGGCAGCATCTGCTGGGCAATGGGCACATGGAGGTGCTGCATGCGATCAATCGATCGGTGCCCGTTTGCATTGGCCAGCGCCGGCACCTCAACTGCTCCGTGTGCCAGGCCAAATTCCTCTACAACGCCCAGCTGCGACGCCATTTCGCCTCGGAGCATATGGGCGTGCCACCCACAGGCAGCGCCTCGGATGACTATCAGTGCCGCTTCCGCTGTGACCATTGCGGAGCGCCGCAAAAGTCGCGCGTGGCTTTGCAGCGCCACGAGAAGCACAAGCATCGCCTGAGCAAATATTATTGCGCCGTGTGCGAGCTGGAGTTCGAGACGCCGCTGGCTGCGCGTCGGCATCGCAGTCTCCTGAGCCATAAGCAAAATGCGATGCTTCGCCAGGACGGCGGCCCGTGCAGCAGCTCGGCGCAGCCGGAGGGGGAGACCGAAATAGAGCACATGCTGCGCGAGGTGCTGGACGATCCGCTGTCCGAGCCCGAGCAGCCGACAACGAGCTCAGGCACCGGCAGGAGGCGGGTCTCGATCAGCCAGTGCGCCAATTGCCAGCAGAGCTTTGAGTCCGCCCAGGCGCTGATTCAACATCGCAGCGAAGCCCATCCCATGGAGAACCACTGCTGCCTCAGCTGCGGCAGCAGCTTCCAGACGGCCCAGGCCCTGGGACGGCACACGCGCACCTGCCAGCCCATTACCTCGATCTCCTCCACGATGGACGCAGTCGCCAACTACTGGCCCTGCGATCAGTGCGGCTTCAGCGCCCAATACGAATCGGATCTGCTGTACCATCGCTTCTTTCACATACGCGGCCCCACGATTGGCAAGGACGAGCTGCTGCAGTGTCCGCGCTGCCCCAAGCGCTTCCGCAAGCACTCGCTGCGCGCCCACCTGCGCAACCACACGAACGAGCGCATCTTCGAGTGCGAGCAGTGCAAGGCCAAGTTCGCCAGGCGACACAATCTCAAGAGTCACATGGACAACATTCATGGCCAACGGGAAAATCCAGAAAAGGCCCCTAGGACGACAACAACAACAACGACGACGACGACGGCGATGCGAACCAAGCCAAAATTTGAATGTGGCACGTGTGGCAAAATGTTGGCTAAAAAGTAAGTTTGTTTTATATACTTCAAGAATGCTTCTAATTTAATATATATTGATACATGCCTAATATAAATATAAATTATATATTAATTTTTACACATACTCGAAATTAACTAGAATCTGAAACCTTTTTTAATAGAAACTCTATACTCTATGTATATATTTTCATATATTTATAGATTAGAGATAATATGAAATTAAAGATAACTAATTGGAATAAAGCTATCGAGGCCATCGGCATTTCATTCCATTTCGTTTATATAGCCAGGAAAGAAAATCCTTTCGCTGGTTCCTTACAACCCAACATATGCTGAATAATTAAATATTTATATCCCTCATCCAGTAATATATAATATATAATATCACGTAATATCTCTAATACTATCGAATTTCCATTCGATTATATGCTGTAGCATAGGATCATGGTATACATATATTTCTATTTCGAAATGTTTTTCAATTGCACTCTGAGTCCATCAAGCTCTATCAGCTCCCTTACCTAAATCAGCTCAGCTCATCTCATCTGCGCCCTCGGGCGAATTGATGTACTATGTGACGTGATGCTCATGAGTGCATGCCACAAGCAACAAGAGTAGGAAACTTGAATGCGGCTGCCAGTAGCAGGAATCCAGACATCCAGGCAGGCAAATGCTTGCCAATGACCAACAGCAGCTGCGATTGGGAAATGAAGGCAGCTTCGCATCGAGACGAGACGAGACCAGACGAGTTGAGGCAAGGCGGGACGAGAGGCAGCCCACAACACGTACCACTTAGTGTGTGTTGTTCTGGCTCCGACCGCAAGCCGAACAATGTCCGACTCAATATCGCAGATTCATAAAAATGAATGAATGTAGGAATGGCAATCCCTTAAATCGTCGGATTGCTGCTGCTGCCATTGGAAATGGGAAATCAAGTTGGCTGAAATTGACTCTCAAGTGATGAACCGTATAGCTGAACTGGACTCCAACGATTGGGGTAGATTGGGACTGAAAGAGGGACTGGGATTGGCAATGGAAATAGGAATGAGAGTGGAACTGGGACTGGAACTGCCAGTGGGTCTGGGGAGTAACCATTAAAATGAATCGCACTGCACTTTGTGCCATCAACAGAATCAACTCCCGGACAGCGAGTGATGCAGCATAGGAATGACTTAAAATACAAAATAAAATAAACTAAAAACGCAGACATAAAAGAAACAAAAAGGGAAAAGCTACGTAGGTGAAGATGCGATACGCTTACGAGAAAATTCCGATTTGAAAAATGCGAAAATTCTGATTTCTATACCAAGAACTATATATGATATAATATGTATTATAATAATTATATATATAATATATATAAACCTATATATATGTTTATATATCTATATATATACATATACATCTAATTAAAGACATGCCTCTTACAATATTGAAATTAGTTTCCCTATAAAGGAATGTCCATATTCGACGTCGACCCGTCTCTGTCAAAGATGAGTCAGTCGAATATGAACAACCCTGTATATAAATTCTTGTCAGTTGAGTCATTTTACTATAATTCATTAGGAAGATAAGTTTGCATTAAGACTAAAAATCTCCAAGTTTCCCCTGGTAGAGTTAATATTACAAACCTGTAATACCCGCTGTATAGAGTATAGAGAAAAAGAAATGAAGGAGCAACAGCGAATTGGAAATGCGCAAAACCGAGACGAAGCAGAGCCAAGCCGCGTCGCGTCGCATCGCGCAGCGCAAGCCAAGCCAAGCCAAAAGAATCCGATTCCATATCCAGCCAAACAGAACAGAACATTGCACGCCATTTCAATAAAAGTGAATTGCCCAACGACGACGACGACGACGACGACGACGATGGCAATGGCGACGACACAAACTTTAGACTGATGCTGATGCTGATGCTGGCAAAGTATCCGCACAGGACCTAGCTAACCAGCAGAGCAGCCAGAGCTGCTCGGGCCGTAAAAGTTGAGTTAGTTCAAGTCTGGAATTCCGGAAGTGAGCAGCGCTGCGCTGCGCTGTTGACATGACTGACGACGTCGCGTCCTTTGCTTGACTGGGGCGTGCTGAAACTTTGCTAGCACACACACACACTCGCACACTCACACTCTCTCGGTCTCTGTGGCTGTCTGTGAGTTGATCTGCGAGTCGACTCCTTGCCGGCCACTCGGTCTCGTTAGTCGTAAAAGCAAAGTATCTACATCAAGCGCGCCCGACAATAACTTCAAATGAGCATTTTAATAAATTTTTCAAATAATCACTTGAAAAGTGGAAAACTCTCAGCCAGCTTCGTCTCGGCCGGTCTCAGTGCCCTCGGTCTCCGCTCGCTTGCATTACGCATTCAGTGAGCCCGGCTCGCCTCAGTCTCTGATCCGTTTGCCTCTTCCGGCGACTCGCTGCAATTCAACTTAATGTTTGCTCAAGGAATTAGTTGCAAGCAACTTGGCAGCGAGCATCAAGCACGGTGCCTGGCCATGGCTACACAGACTGCACAAGTTATGATTAGTTATGGCCGAGACCTAATTGGATGGCCAGATTTGGATCTGCCGACAGTAGTCCCCTGAGTCAAACAGAAATGAATGCACTTAGCTAGTGAATAGGCTAGACGGATTATTACTATACAGGAAATTGACATTGTGAGATTTAGTAATAACAAAAAGTTTGCTTGCCATACGATAATTATTTTAAGCATTTCATATCATACTTATGTTTTCCATAAATTCTGACATTCTTAATTAGTTTACGTAAAATCGGAATCACAGCGATTGGGACATAAATCAGTACTCTACAATCGGTAACACTTGCATTACTTATGTTTCGTAATTTTTTCCAAAATATGGACTTGAATGAATTTATAGGACTTGCTCTGCGAATGAATTTGGTTCGCTTCATGCAGTACCTGTTAAAAACAATAACAAGCCCATATGGAACAAATTGACTATAAAGAGCTTTAAATTCAAGATTTGCAGGACCATAATTTTTGGATCAATTATTAGCGGATTAATCGTTCTCAGAGCTTATGAAAGGCTTATAAAAACACGCCAAAATTTGAAGAACAATTCAAAGTTGTTTCAGCACTTCCCAAAAGTTGATCATCATCATGCAGTTCTTCGCTATTATCGCCCTCAGTCTGCTGATCCTGAATCCTGTCACTGCTCTCCCGCCATGTGTCTGTAATTTAAACCTTGATCCTGTCTGCGGCAGCGATGGCGTATTATATGGCAATGAGTGCGACTTCGATTGTGCTGCTATGAAGGCGGCAGCGAACGGTGTCAAAATAGTCAAAGTACACTATGGTAGATGTTTGACCCGAATCGGGTTATACAAACTTAAATGTGAATTGAAATCTAATAGTTTATTTTAGATATGAAGCCAAATAAACATTAGTTCAAACACCGCGAGATAACACCAATTCTAGTTGATTCTTTTCTAAGGTTTCTTTGATAAAAAGAGCAACTATTTATTCAGTTTATGCGTACGGGTGTTTCTTATTTTACTTTTCTTTGTTGTAGTAATTATACTCATTCACGAAAGTGAATTAGTATATTGGTTTTGTGCGAGGTCCGTCTTGTCCGTATAAACCAAATTTTTTTTTTAAAGCTAGAGACTTGCAATTTGAAACACATACCCGGTATATCTCAGATTTATAAGGTGTTAAACTTGAGAGCGTGGCAATCCGCAAAAGTTT